GGCTTCCTGTGGCCCCCTGGCTGTGTGTCCCAGGGTCACCTTCCAGCCCCACGGCTCCAGTGCTGTGGGCGAGCACCCGGTGCCTGGTGGCACGTGGCTGGCAGGGACACAGCCAGACCCAGCACATTGGAACCACTGCCCAGCACTCACAGTGTGCATTTGCAACCCTACAATAACAGACACATGGCAATAAGTTGTTAATCATGGCTAATGAGTTGGAAAAACTCCCAGGAGTCTTTCCCAGTGCTGCAGGGAGCTCAGACTTGTGCAGTGGCAGGGGCAGAAGGGGACCCACGGCCCAGAGGGACACCTCTGGGGACTGGAGAGGGTGATGTGGGGTCTGGCAGCACCAACTGCCTGTTGTTGCTGAGGGTGCCAGTGGCACTGAGCCCCCTCGGTCTGTCTTCCTGCAGAGAAGGAGGAGATCGACCACCCCAACAACAGCTTCAGCCCCTGCAGCATCCATGACCGCAAGTGCTTGCAGAAGCAGCAGGCGAAGAGGGTCAACAACGGCAACAAGATGCGCAGCAGCGGGAGCCCTCACCACCGCGAGGACACGCGGCCCATAGTGAGCACGGGCAGGGCTGGGGAGGGCAGGGTGGAGAGGGATCCCGGGGCGCTGGGGCGGGGGCACATGCCAGCCCCGCAGCCGGCTCAGCCCCTCCTTCCCACAGGCACAGGGCTCGTGCCAGAGCGAGCTGCACCGGGCGCTGGAGCGGCTGGCGGCCTCGCAGACCCGCACCCACGAGGACCTGTACGTCATCCCCATCCCCAACTGCGACCGCAACGGCAACTTCCACCCCAAGCAGGTAGGACGGGCTCTCACCCGCCGTGGGGGCACTGTGTGGGACAGGGTGAGGCTGGGAGGGGGAAATGGGTGGATGGGACAGTGACAGGGCATGGCAGAGCCCACCCGGCCTGAGGTGTCCCTCCCTGAACCTGTCCCCGCAGTGTCACCCGGCGCTGGACGGGCAGCGCGGCAAGTGCTGGTGCGTGGACCGCAAGACTGGGGTGAAGCTGCCGGGCTTCCTGGAGCTGAAGGGGGACTTGGACTGTCACCAGCTGGCGGACAGCATGTGAGTGTGACCCCGCGCCGAGCGGCTGCCAGGGACAGGAGGAGAGGGGCCGTGAGCGCCGAGCGGGGCCCTGGTGCCGGGGCACCCCGGGGTGCACTCTGGACTGTGCTGCTCTGTGCCACGGGCTGCCCACGACCTGCGCCATGACCACTACCCACCACTGCTGGGGATCCTGGCACGCGCCAGCGGCCCCTCCATCCCACAGGGACACAGCTTGGACCGTGCTGCCCCGGGGGCTGGTGTCGGCCTGCCCCGGTGGGGAGCACCCTCAACGCTGCTGCCGGTGCCCCGTGGTGCCCCCTCGGTTTTCACCCTGGCCCCTTGGGTTGCCCCCGACACCGTGGGGTGCTGTGGCAGGCCATGCATGCCAGACCTCTGCATGGGCAGCAGGAGAAGTGCCTCATCCTGCCCCTCCTGGCAGCGAGAGGCTGCCTAGGCAAGGACCGGGGGGCATGGAGAGACCCCCCCACTGTTGCCCGCCCTCCCTGCCTGCATCTTGCCCAAAGTGTGTGTGTGTGATGGGCAGCGCAGCCACACAGAGCAATAAGAGACCTTCCCCTCCCTGCTGCAGCCCCTCATCCCCACAGCCCATCCCCATCCTGCTCCCTGTGCAGGGACATAGCCCCCAACCCATCCTGCCTCCCCCTGTCCCATCCCTGGGGCGAGGATGGTCCTCACAGGCATTGAGTCCGAGGGGAGGATGGGGGGGACAAGGGAGGTCCAGGAAATGCATCCCAGCAGGAAGAGCTTCTGGTCTGAGTTTTTAGTTTCTTCCCCAAATTTTTTTTTTATCATTTAAAAAATGCCATTGGTGGGATCTTAAAAGTGACCATGTGGCCCCAAGGCTGGAATTCTCCAACCCCAGGGACCAGGGGACTATGGCAGTAGCTCCTGTCTTCTCTGCTTGGCCAACATGACAAAACCAGGAAGGGTTCTGGAATGTCTCCATGATGGGATCTGCAGATTTCACCAGCACAAAGTTCTCAGCTGAGAAATTGCCACTGGTTTTGTAGCTATTCTTTTTATTTCTCTTTTCTTTAAGCTGGGCTGGAAATTTTTCATGTAAAAATGCCGTGGCAAGTGTGCCAAAGATGGAGGGGACTTTCCTGATCCTCTCCTGACCTACCCCAGCTCCATGGCCTCAGTGGAAGCTTTTGGTTTTCCATGTAGATTTGCCCTGGCCAAGGCCCCCTGATGGGAACAAAATGTTTCAGTTTTAGTGAAACGTTCTGCCCTCCTGACCCCCTCCCTGCCTGCCCCTGTGCCCTGCCAAATCCCTGCCTGTCCTGGCACCGCCCCGGATCCCTGCCTGCCCCTGTGCCCTGCCAGATCCCTGCCTGCCCTGGCAACCCCCAGATGCCCTGGTTGTCCCTGTGCCCTGCTGGATCTCTTCTTGCCCTGGCACCCCCTGGATCCCTGCCTGCCCTGGCTGCCTGTGGCCCTGCTCACACACAACTTCTAAACGGAGTCAATTTGCCAGGACAGTCCTCAGTGGGGAGGGGGGGGTCCCTGCCCCTCTTCTCTCCCAGTCCCCCCAGTGCCACTGTGCCAAGGATGGGTTTCCCAGGCTGCAGGAGGTGCTGCTGGGGACCATGGCCAGTCATGGTGCCAATCCCATGGTAGGGCACAGGGTGTGGTGGCAGTGCCAGCCCAGTGGTCTTGGCCACTTGGCCCCTCCCTGCCCACACCAGGGCAGATCCAGCAGAGCCTTTCCCAGTTTGGGGGTTCCTGGGAATGCCAGTGCACCAGGGCACATTCTGTGTCCTGCTTGGAGGGCTCCAGTGTTTCGCAGTGTCTCTCCCGTAGTTTAGGGCTGTATTTACACACGACCATGTACCAGTGTCCCCCATCCCCAGTGTGTCCCCCTGTGCCCAAGGGGTCCCTGTCCGTCCCTCCTGGGCCAAGCCCGTCCCGTTGGACTCCCGTGTAGCACCGACCCTTTTACAGTACACTTGAACCTTTGTATCCTCAAAAAGAAAAAAAGGTAATTACTATATTTAATTTCCTGTTATCTGATGTTTTTCTATTGAGTGTGTTTTATTTTTTATGGCTTTAAATAATGGGAGGGGGGGAGGAGTGAGGGGTCTGTGGGATCCCACCGGTGTGGGGACAGGCTCCTTTTGCCACCCCTGCCCAAGGACCTGCTCTCCTGGTCCTGTGCTGGGGTTCAGCAGCCCTGGAAACCCAGGTGCCCTGAAGCCTCTGGAAGAGCTTCACGAGCAGAGAAGCAAATGATTTCTTGCCTCCTCGTGAGTCCCAGCTCAGCCTCCCCCAGTGCCACCGGGAGGGTTGTCACCGTCAGCCCCACACAGCGACACGGAGCAGCG